TTTCTGTTAGTAGAACTTCCAGTGATAGTATAAATAATAAAGGTGATAATGAACAACCCTGTCTCACTCCTTTCCATATCGTAACTATTGCTGTGAGAAGAATTTTTCTTTTTTCTGTTTCCATTTCTATCATTAAAATCCTTCCTTCTTTATCTGTATTTTTTTTTTTGCATTTATCCATTCTTTGATGTATATTGCAATTCCTTTTTTTTGTTGTTGTTGTGCTAATGTTGTAAATAATTTTCCTAACTTTGGATAGTCTAGTAGTTTGTTATATTGGTTTTTAATATGTACCTCTTGAAGGCATACTATGTCCATATTCATTTTTTGTAATTACATTTTTTGTAATTTTTGCCTTCTCTTTTCCGGTGAGTTTAATCCATTTATATTTAATGAGAGTCACTTAATTTCTTGTTCTATTGTGTTATTTGTGTGCCGTCTTTAGTTTCCTTGCATTTCTTGTCTCTATTCCTATTTTACTATCTTCTTGTTCTATTTGTTCTTTTTCCTGTCTTCTTCTTTGTTCTCTTTCTTCCTCCCTGTTTTCAACTGACTGTTCTTCTTGACTTCTACTCTCTGGTTCCTCTTTACTTTCTTGTTCTTCCTCAGCAGTGAAATGATGTTCAAAGAAGACATGTGATTTCTCGACTGTGTCTATTTTATATCTTTTATCCTGCCAGGTAATCATCACTCTCTCTGGTGTAAGCCATCTAAACATTACATTGTACCTTATTAATTGTTGTGTAAGCAACTGATATTGCCTTCTCTGGTCCCTCACTATTTTCGGGATTTGTCTCAGAATTTGTATCTCTCTTCCTTTATGTGTTATTTGTTCTTCTCTCACTTTCTTATATACCTCATCTCTTACCAAAGTCCCTTCCAGCTTCTACCCTATCCTATCCACTTCAAATTTTAATAATAAGTATTTTTCATTGCTCTAAATCAGGGGTCACCAACCTTTTGGACCTCAGGGACCACTAAATTCATAATTTTAAATCCCATGGACCACTAATATGAATCCAGCGCATCGCTCGCTGAAGTGCCTGGATTGCCAGTGATGGGATGGAGTCCTTCAGGCACTTAGCTTGGTTGTCTGTTTCTTCAACCTTAAACACTCAGAGCCATTTGGACCCATTTCCCACAGAAAACAAAACACCAAGATCTCTCCTCTCCCCTCTCTCTCATCTTTCTCATCTCTCTTTCTCTCATCTCATAGGCCAGCCAGTATCTTGGGGCGGAGAGGAAGTCACACATCTCCCAGTCGTGCAAGGGCTGGAAGAAAAGCCTGCGAGATCCATCAAGAGATAAAGCTTTGCTCCCACTCTGGAACATGGAGTGAATCTCCATCCCCCACCCTTCCCTGAGATTTCCAGCCCCATGAGCTGTCTGGCCAGTCTCATATATCAGAGCTCTAGTCACAGCACTGGCCTATTGGTCATCCTGGTGCAACTCCTCCACCCATGTACACCACAGGCCACCAAAATTTTCTCACGGATCTCTGCTCTAAATTATTGTGTAATTTTTTTAAAAAAATCTGTTTTTCCTATAAGGAACCTATTTTAACACAACTCATTCTGTATTTTCTATTTTTATTTATTCTTTTCTTTCAATATTTACTTACTAATATTGGCATTTTTGCTGCCATTTTCCATAGGTTTTTAAAAATGTTTCACTTGTTTGAAAATTGATTTTTTCATTGATAGATCAAGTATCATCCCAAAATTGGATATCATCTTGATTTTTAGATTTTTGCAAGCTGAATATTTACCTGCATTAAAACAAGTTTAATTAAAATCAGAAAATTAGCATCCATTTTCATCCAGAATTTGTTTTTCCTGCAAATATTACATATTTGTAAATATTGATTACAAATGAAAATGAAATATAAATTCAAAGGCCAAGAAAATTTTAAATGAAATCAGATATTAGCTGATAGAACTTAACTTTGCCATAAACTTAAATTAACTGTAAATTAAATTAACTGTTCAAATTAACCATTGGTTGCCGAGAGCAAAGTGGGCTAGGCTGCTCTGGCTGAGAGTCAAAGCCAAAGGGAAAGAAAAGTGGGAACTGTTGCCGCTACCACTGTTTCTGGCACTCTACACTCTTCACCCCATGCATGCATTCCCCTCATCTCTCAACGGTGAGTGGGTGGAGGCGAGATGAGTGATTTGCAGTGATTCTAGCACATTATTTGCATTAATTGCAACTTTACAAACACTTATGAAATATCACTTCCTTCTTCTAGATGAGGTCTAAATTGGATTATTTGGAAGTGTTTCTCATCTACATTAGTTTTGGGTATACTCAGTTGCTGCTCTTCTCCTGATGTCATTTTTTGTTATTTTCCGATTCGGATTGTTAAACCTATCATCAACTTTGTATGTGCAGATTCCCAGGCTTGTAGATCTATCTGTAAAGATTCACTGGAATTTTTAAATTATTTTTGTCCCATCTGTTAAGAGCTTTTTTTAATGTTCTATTTCATGCACCACTATTTTTATCCCGTATTTTATCTGCTTCTGCCATTGTCTATTTCCCCTGTGTTCTGCTCAACAGAAGTGTGGCAATGGCTGTTTGTCTTCAATTTTTGACTATCTGCAGTAAAAGAAGAAAAATATTTATTAGTATAGTTTTAATGCAATCTGTATTGCATCAAGAATAAATCTTAAAGGTTATCCATGCAGCAAATTAAAATGCTGTATTTATGGCTATTTAACCTCTAGTGACTTACAGCATTTTCTAGCAACCAACACTGTGCAAAACCTGTTCTTAATTATATCAGCAAAATATTTGGATCACTGTAAAAATGCTCTAGGACACTAATTTGGACCCTATTCTTTTTTTAAATGAGGTTCATAAGTACATTTTCCTTAATTTAGCAATGTGGACTAGCTTTGGGAAATGATCAGAATAATCATTATATAACACTGGAACCTGATCTGCAGCAAAGGGCCACTAATATGTATGGCTTGTCAGCATTTTATATTTGAATTAGGTATTTTAAGATTTTTAAATAGCATGGAAAATGTTTTGGAATTGTTCTGCTTGATATTTTTATTCAAGATCTTTTTTCTTTTTAAATAATTTCAGTGCTACATTATATTTTATATTATTTATGTACATATGTATTTGTGCACTTAATTAATTTGGTATCAAAACAAAATACAGTATATAAAAATAAAAACTTAATCAAAACAAATAAAATAGCCTCTATGGAACCACAAAGAAAAAATAATGTTGAATTGGTGGTACAATTCTACAATAAATAGAGTGACTGAAGAACTGTTGAAGGAACAATAATAAGATAAAATCCATCTTTGTGTGGAAAGACCTCAAATGAGCACCAACTAAAAATCATCATATTGAAGGCTTCCATACAAGTATTTGTTTTGAAAAAAGTATAATCTATATTGCCATAAGCAAATTTGTGGGAGATTATGAATTACTCTTCAAAAAGAAAGTTGCATGCAACCTGATGCTGTAAAATAGTTAGAAATAACTGTTGTTATATTATATAGTTTATTTTACAAATATAACTCAGATTATAGTCTTACAGCTGAATTTTTAAAACATTTCTACTGAAATCTCATAAGGTTAAATGAAATCTTAAGCATATCATCCAGCTCCTTGTTTTACTCCACAGAGCAAATACATTATAAAATAATATCATTCTATGAAAAATCAAACTAAGCCTCAGTAAATTACAAGATTTAATTTTCTTACAGTATAATATAAATTTGTCCCAGTTTATTTGCTGAATTTGGCTATCTTCTATTACCTAACACTTCTAAAGAAAGAATACATACTTTTCACAGTGGATCTTGAATATTATAATTTGATTAATTAGGAATATATCTTACCCTATATATTTTTAAGGGTATCTATGACCAAAGCCCAAGCGAACTAACAAAATTATTCTTTCAGTTTTTCCTCTTGAGAGTCCAAAGTCCTAATTCAACTATAATAATAATTAGTAATAATTTTGTAACTATAATTAACTAATGACGTCAAATGCATTTGCAGTTCCAAAGTGCACTTGTCATATTCAAAAAGGTTAATATGAACATTATGATGCAAATCAGAAGATAAACATATCTATTTGTACACTTCTCTCTATAACTTTCTCTGATTTCTCTGACTGGGAAGCAATTAGAAAAAAATGGATTATTATTCTCAACAATTTAGGATTTAGGATTTTAGGATTTTAGGATTTTATTGGGGATTTATATGCCGCCCTTTTCCCTGAGGGGACTCAGGGCGGCTTACAACAATAAAGGGAGGGGAGTGCAAGACAAGACTTAAAAAAAGAATCGTGATTAAAAGAAAATTAACCATAAAAACACAACATTCACTCAACATTCGGGCGGGGTGAGAGTAATCCTATCCCCAGGCCTGACGGGATAGCCAGATCTTGAGGGCTGTGCGGAAGGCCTGGACTGTGGTGAGGGTACGGATCTCCACGGGGAGGTTGTTCCATAATGTCGGAGCTGCAACTGAGAAGGCTCTCCTCCGCGTAGTCGCCAGTCGGCAATTTCAGAATATTGTGCAGGAACTTACTATAACTTAAATTACACAGTGTATGACTATTTTTTAATTTATCTAGGTTGAACCCTAATTTTCCAAATTTAACTTAAAATTAATATTCTGAATTAACAGAATTTTACTGAATGTATAATTAGTTGGCAATTGTCTCAAAAAGTTTTTTAATAAATGGGGTAGGGGGCTTTAGACTAAATATGCTTATTATAAATTACATACAACCATGGATTCTGCACACAATGTACTCCTCATCTGCAACCTATTAATGGTAGAATTCTTGTTACTATAAAGAGGTTACACAAAAAATTAGACAGCCTTATCCGGTGGCATCTCCTAGATATGCGGCAACTGTTGATTTCTATGCCATATTAGATTAGAGAAGGCAGCTTTATCAATTTTTTCAAAGATTTGACTTATAAAATCGGAAGAAGAAAATAATGATTATCCATCATTCCACAGTGGATTTTATATTGAATGTTGAGGATAAAGAGAGGCACCAACACCTTGCTTCTTCCTCTATTTGATTTATACTTGCAAAATCACTGATAGAAAAATGCCATGCAAAGTCTGGACACTTCAGCAAATAAAATCTGTATTAATGTTTGCACAAATTTACATAAGAAAACACACAATATCTCTAATAAGAACCAATCATACACACACACTATAAAAGAGTGCCTGAAATTCAGATCCATCAAGTACTGTTAGCAAATTTAAGTATTGCCAAAAAGTTTCTTTTTAGTAAATTTACATTTGCAAAGACAAATTGTATTTGTATACAAATAACTTACAACTACTGTGAAATGCACTGGACTTGTGTGCTTTGCTACTAAAATATTGACTTAAAAGAGTTTCTTTTTAAATATATAAAGCAAATACACAGGTTTTGGTCATTTCATCAGATATGAATTTGGGCACATTATAAATATACCTATAAAGTCTCTTAACTAAACTAACTAGAAGCAAGTATAGATTGTTTTTCAAAAGAATTACTGGGAACAAATCAATCCAGTTCGAAGATTCCTACCTAACTCTAGCCTTCTACATCCAACATCAAGAAGTTGGCTTTAACATAATAATTTACAAAATAGATTCCTTTTAATATTACAAAAAATAATCAACTTATGCCAAGATAAGAACCCCTCCATCCAGCCCGCAAGATAAGAGCCCCTCCCCATCCAGAGCCTCTCAACGATACAACTTGTGTGACATCGGACCAGATACGGGAGGAAGACGGTCATTTCGCTGCAGCTGTTGTCGAGGTGGGGGTATTCCTCCGCTGCTCCATGCCGTTGGGCAAAAAGCCGGCGATGATGGGCACCGGCCAGATGAGGGCAGCCACACTCCACACGATGATGACCAGAGTCATGAAACAGGCCACCAGGGTGGACTCGATGGGCTTGCGGTTCATCCTCCAGCCGGGATCTCCCTTGAGATCCTCCAAGCTGAAATCCAGACAGCAGAAGTGGAGTCGCTCCCCTTGCTGCCAAGGCTGTCCGTGGTCCGGAGTAGACCAGGAGTAGAGGGCAGCCGAAGGAGGAGTCGATGCGGTTGGGCTGGAGGCGGCCGGGCGAAGGCGGCCGACGCGCCTACCTCGCGCCCAGCTGCAGCCCACGCATAGGCGGAGGTCCTGCTGTACGCCACCAGCTGCCAGCCCAACATGCTCGATAAGCAGCGGCGGCCCGACGCGATGAAAGGCGGCCGAGAAAAAGGCGCGCCCGCCGGGGCCGCTCGTGGAGAAGAGCACGAGATCACACTGGAAGCCCAGCGGGCTCCAGCGCACCAGCAATGAGCTCAGCATCTGTCTCTGCACGCTGATGTTGCACGGCTGCTCCTCGCGGGGCTGCTCCTCCTGCTGGGGCGCGGAGCGGGGTGACTCAGGTGAAGGAGTAGCTACAGCCGCAGCCTTGGTGGCCTTTCCTCGCCCTTTCTCAAAATCGGTCGGAAACTCGCCCCATTTTACAGAGGACTTGGGGGAAGAAGAGGAGTTGAGAGGAGGCAAGGTGAGTCTTGTCGGTTCCTTTCGTCCGGATTCTGAAGAAACCGAGGGAGACCAGCCTCGGCAGGGAAAGGATGGAACGAAAACGGCCAACAGCGCCGAGAGAAAAGGCAGCAGCATGGCATTGGCTTAGAGGAATGCCAGAGGAGGGGAACGAGGTTGCATGGAACTGCTGCGGCGACGGCTGTCGGTTTCCATTTAGGAAGCGCGAGCAAGGTTGGCCGCCAGAAAAGGGAGCGGCGGGGAGGGGATGGAGGCGAGGCGGTCGCGGTCGAGAGATGAGGCGAGTGCGCGCGTGGGGGCGAAGAGCGGAAAGCTCCAGAAACGGCGGCGGCAACAGTTCCCACTTTTCCTTCCCTTTAGCTTCAACTCTCAGCCGGGGCGGCCCCGCCCACTTCGCTCTCAGCAACCAATGGGCAACTTCTCGGAATTGCTATTTTCGCTGGATCACCGTCCAGGCAGCGAACTGCTCCCACGTTCAGTCCCCGCCCAGGATTCCCTCTCGCTGCCTGGCTTTATGAAGAAGTATCCCTGTTTTCGTCATTGTAGGCTCTCTCTTTACTTCCTCCCTTCATATTAAATCTTCTGGTACGGGTCTTCTTCCCAGGAAAATAATCCTTATCCCTTGCTTCATCTTTGATATATGGGACATCTTTTCTGCCACCCCAAAGGCCACTTCCACTCACAGCTTTTTTTTTTTTCTACTATAGAGTTTCCACTTCAGTTTTCAATGGTTGAATTTATATTTCAAGTGGCTTGGCCTAACACATGGAGAGATGGTTGGCCCTATAAATCAACCATGAAGAGAAGTGGCCTTGGTCTTCATATGACTATTGGTGCTTGACCATTGCAATCCCGGATTTTAAAATTAGCAGATACCATGTTTGCCCAAAAGTAAGACCCAGTTTTATTTTCTTTTGGGTCCCAAAATAAACACCATATCTTATTTTCAGGGAATGTCTTACCTGCTTACCTTAGAACCACTGCAGCTAGGCCTCCAACTTGACTCTCTTGTTTTTTCTTTAAAGGTGTTTTGCTTCTCAGCCAAGAAGCTTCTTCAGCTCAGACTGGATGGTGGGAATAGAAGGATTGTCTGCAAGGAATTTAAATCATTCCATTTCCCACCTTCCAATCAGAACTGAAGAAGATTCTTGGATGAAAAGTGAATCATCTTCAAAGAAAAAATAGAAAGTTCAATTGAACACCAGCTCCCAAAAGAGTGGAATATTTTGAGGAATATTTTTAAAAGGCAGGATAAAATATTTCCCCTAAAAGAGCAATAAAAAATGTTAAGGGAGACAGAAACTTGGAGCCCCAGCTCCCTCCCCCCAGCAGATATTTTGTGCCCATTGAGAAAGATTGGGGCAGCTTCTCTACAAAACAGAAGATCTTCAGTTCCAGGATGATAGGTTTAAGACATGACCCTTCAGGACATAATAGGATTAACCTACTACAATTTAGCAGCAGAGCTCACTACATTGCACAATGTCCTAAGGACATTGCATCACTCTCCAAACTTCAACCAAACTTAGCTGAGACAAATACCCAGGATTTGTATGTTGCTTATAGAATCAGCTATGACCACTACATAACCCCTACATGGCACTATGGGAGTCTGACAACAGCCAATAGAATAAATTCTCTTGCACAGGAACAGGCAGCTCAAGTGCAAAGCCCCAAAGAAAGTATAGCCCTCCCACTCTCAACTCCATGTGGTCAGCTGCTCAGAACCCATGTGGTTCTGCTTCATCAATAAACCATATTTCCATTCAGCCTCAAACCTCCATTTTGTCTCCAGTGCCTTTCTCCCAGCTTGGAACTGAACCAGATGGATATTTCTTCCAACAATTTGGCACCCCAAGATGGGACTCCAAACTAACCTGACCAATGGACCTGCCCTTGGAAACCTCCCTTGCCATCACAGACCCATTGTGTCTGTGGGTGGATTCTCCTGGACCTTGGCTGTTTGGAATTAGGGTAGTAAAGATATTTTGAGTTTTGAGCTCAATGGCTGCTTGGAAAGGAGGTGAGTACCTCTAAATTCTAACTTTAAAGCAAGGGAAATGTGTGCATTCCTGTGTGTGTGAGAGAGAGAAGACCTTTCTCACAATTACAGCTGGATCCTGTTCCTTCTGTGCCTTTCCTAACCACAGAAAGATCTGTTCTACCAACAGAGCCTGGAAAGAATGGGGAATTGGCCAGATTGCAGGACCTTCTGCTAAGAGAAAGGGAGTGTCAACTCGCAAAGACTTCCTGACCTGCTCTCAAGTTGCCATAGGCAGGGGATGGGGAATCAAGTCTCGCAGCTGTATTGAGGAGTTTTCCCAGTGTTTTCCCAGATGTGCCAATATGAGATCTCTAATAAAATAGAACTTTGAGGAAACCCAAGCCTCAGAGTCTTCTTTCATTGAGGGTGTTACTTGAAACCCTGACATTATCCCGAATCCCTTTTAAAATTCAATCAACTATCCCAAGCTCCGAGGTGCTGTTCGGGCTCCTGAGTCCCAAGTGTCATCCTGAACCCAGGTGGTTCAAAGACTCAGGGAAAATAGAGGAAGAGAAGAAAACCGTGGAGGGAGCTGTGGGCGATGGTTCGGCGATTTATGTCGAGATTTATGTCGAGACCAGCTACTCCAGTGGTGAAATCCAAAAAAATTTCCCTACAAGTTCTGTGGGTGTGGCTTGGTGGTCATATGACCAGGTGGGTATGACCAACTTGTAAAATGTGGTGAAACTCACTTAATGTTCTTGCTCAGCAACCAAAATTTTGGGCTCAATTGTGGTCATGTTTTCTTTCTTTCCCTTTCTTTTTTTCTTTCTCTCTCTCTCTCTCCCTTCCTCTTTCTTTCTCTTTATTTGTCTCTCACTTTTCTTTTCTCTCCCTTCCTTTTTCTTCCTTCCTTTCTCTTCCTTTCTCTCCCCTCTCCTCTCTCTGATTTTCCCCCTCTTTTATCTCTCTCTCATTCTCTCCCTCCAGCTCTCTTTTGTTTCTCTCCCCTTTCCCTTTCTCTCTGATTTGTTTACCTCTCTTTTCCCCCCATCTCATTTTCTCACTCCAGCTCTTTTATTTATCTCTCTTCTTCTCTCTCTCTAATTTATTTCCCTCTCTTTTCCCTCTCTCTCATTCTCTCCCTTCAGCTCTTTCATTTTTCTCTCCCACTTCTCTCTCTCTCTGATTTGTTTCCCTCTCTCTTATTCTCTCTCTCCATCATTTTCCTTGCTCTCCTCTCTTTCACGCGTACGTGTGTGTGCCAGAAAAATACCCTCCTGGGTTGGGATCATGGCGATGGGGATTGTGACTCCTCCTCCTGCTGCTGCTACTGTGCAGTGAGGTGAGTAGCTGGCGTCCGCCGCCATCGCCGGATGCAGGGAAGAGAGCTCCAGCTCTCCTGCCCTGTGCAAGGAGAGCCCCACTGCACAGGAAACTCCTCAGTGCCACGGTCCCCTTTGTGTTGCCTCAGAAAGGAGAGGAAGCAGCAGCAGTCGCCATAGCCAGATGCAAGGAGAGCTCCAGCTTTCCTGCCTTGTGCAAGGAGAGCCCTGCACAGCGCAGGAGAATTGGAGCTCTTCTCCCTGCATCCAGCAGTGGTAGTGGTCCGGGAGGGCAGGCGGTGTACATGTGCAACAGCCCCAGGACATTCACCTGGCACCTGCCCTCCCAGAGCACCATCACCATCACCGTTGCCCCTCTCAGCACCAGAGCAATAGCTGCGTCTCCACCAAGGGCCACCCACACACGCACTGGCCTGGCCAGGCTGGACACCAACCTCGGAAGGTAAGCGGGCTTGGGGGACTTATTGAGGGAGAACAGCATTTTGAAGTTAAAGAGATCTTCAATTCCAGAAAACATAGTGGGGAAATGCAGTATTTAGTCGCTTGGAAACATTTCCCTCCCTCCCATTCTGAATGGGTAAACAAGCATGATGTCAGGGCCCCAAAGCTTTTACAGTTGTTTCATTCTAAATACCCTCATAAGCCTCAATGATATTGTGATAATATTTCTGTTGCTTTTGGGCTGACTGTCATCCTCTATCTTGCTTGCTTGCTATCAGCTGCCATAGTAACAGGGGAAGGAGGCTTCAGTATTTGGGAGGAGAAACATACTAGTGGAGATGTCTCAGAATGAAGAGGTAGGATTGCTCTCATCATCTACTGCACAGCTGAATAGACTTGTTTATGCCTGGACAAGGTCAACCGTCATTGCATACCAGATAGATAAAGCCACCTGAAGATGTACTCCACATGACACCCTTGGGGGCTGGAAGTCCATCAAATCCCCAATGTTTTACAAACCACTATGTCTTACAGATCAACAAGAAAAAAGAAGAAGAAAGGTCTTCCACTTAGTCTGAAAATAAATTCATGCTATTTCCCAGCTTCAGTCTGCTCAGCATATTTACAATCCATAGAGATTCAGAGAGCTACCGTGTTAAAAAAAAATTGGATGTTTCCACTCTTTATTTCAAATGTCCAGTAGAACCAATTTGCACCTGCTGGTAACTTGCTTGTTATTGTAATGGACAATCTAATCAGCAGCAGAAAGTCAAGGACAGTTCACTTTCATTTTCACTTCTTCATTTTCTTTCCCCACTGTAGATGTCGCCCTTGCTCTATTTCTCTCCCTTTTCTCTTTTTATTGCTATGTCACATTAGTCAATCCAAAACTTTTTAAGGTTCCAAGAGTCAAAGTTTCATATTCTATTTTTTTTTTAGTTCAGTTAATATTGCTATAACAACCAATCCAGTTTTCCTGGTTTTAAATTTATTTCTCTCAGAGTTCTCTTTTCCCTTTTCTGGATCTGT